TAGATTTATATCTTATTTATTTAGCTCAATATAAAATTTCAAAAAGTGTCCATAATGCCATGCTACCCCACTGTATTAATAATATTTCCTAAATAAATATATACTAGAAATTAATAACAGAGAATCTAATTAACAAATTGTAATCAAGATTAAGCTACTTACTTCAACTCCTGAATTCATTCATCTTAACTTTTTCTATAACAATATGGATATAAGCTACTCATAGAACATATTTCTACAATAAAATTTGGTACAACTCGTGGAAATATTGTATTTTTTTTGTTATCTGATAGTGCATTCCATCTACAATAAAATAAAATTAAAAAGAAATAATAGAAATATACAAATTCTATATTTAAAATTCTCAGAAACCTATCAATAAGAATAACAAAGACATCAGAGCCAAGAATGTCACTATTAGATAATATAAAGCATCCCTACAATTAATAAAAAAATATTATATTAGTAATATAGAAGTGGTAGATGCAATACTGTAATGCTTGCATATATACTGTTGGACCACTACAATGATCAACCAGATTCTGATTGTTATCATGCCAGTTAGCAACTTGCTTTCTAGCTTTGAGTTCTCTTTTATCTAAACATTTTTATAGATAGTTTTAGTATAGAATATCATATTTTAATTTGGCAAATTGACATTTTAACATTATATACTAGTTTTGTTATGAGTAGGAGAAATTATAACTTCAAGTTGTCTTTCAATTAAGTTTATTTCATAGAAGCGAAGGTTTGCAAGTGTGATTTTTTCGAAGAGTCGATAATCACAGTTGGGGATAGTTAAGCATAGAATATATAAAGACATCAATTTACTGTGAAATTCTGTAAAGTAGTTTTTCTTATCAGTCTGCAAAGTTTGCAAACCTCTCTAATAACAAAAATTTCACAAATTGTAATATTTAAAGTAACTATATCATCTTGTTATTTAGTTATTAATTAATCAAATAGTCTATACTGATGTAGTTTCCGATTGAATTCTTTTATACTGACTTAAAATGCAATAATCTTAGATTAAAATATCAAGTTAAACATACAAAAAAAAATTTTCTTACTTAATTATAAGCAGAAATATTCGATACCACACCTAAAGAGGAGCAAATATACTAAAAGTAATAAAAGCAATAAGAGGCACAAGAAAAATACAAGCAATAAAAAGAAAAGAATTTACACAAA